TAAGAGAAGCCCAGGGATCCAGGCCTTTTGAAAAATGACCGGATAATTCAGTGGGGGTGCGCGCTTGTTTTTAAAGTCACAACGCTGTGCTGGTTTAAAAGAAGCGCCTATGGGGTGAATCTGCTTTTCCCACCGTGGTCGGGAGGGCAGGGCACGCGGCCTGGGTCCCCTTCCCACTGGCACTTGCCCTGGCCACCTCCTCACCAGGCTGCACTGTGGGTAAAACGCAGGCTGGGAACCAACTCTGCAGATCCCACTGTGACAGGAGGCCCACGCCGCCCTGGAGACAGAGCCCTGGGACAGCCACACTGTCCCCACACTGCCTTCAGGGCGTGGAGTCAGGGACCGCCCTTCACGATGGCCCTCAGGACGCGCATGCGCAGCACTGTGGGTACATTATGGCTGGTGATTCCGGCGACACCGTACACACCCAGTGTATTCTGTCACCCGCCCCGCTTTGCAGATGGTAAGCCTGCAGTCCGGAGGGGCTCCCCTACCTCATGGGGTGCGATGCGAAGGTGAGGTTGATTCCAAGCCAGGGCTTCAGGCCTCTCCTTCGCTCTGCAGCCCTCCATCCGCTGCCAGGTAATTGGCCCTGGGCACCGGGTGCCCTAAACGTGACCCCCTGCCGGGGCATCGCCTGGCCTTGGGAGGACACTGTGGGCCTTTGGGAAGTCAGAGTCACCTGGTCCCCCTCCGGGCTGGGGAGCCTCAGGGGCCAGGGCGGCCCGCCTCCCAGAGCGCCCTGCGCACAAGGTTGCTGACTAATTCTCTCTGCAAACGGCTCAGTTTCACATGCTTGCGTTTCCAGTAACTGCGTGGGTGGATTTGTTTCATTTAAGGGGAAAATAAAACAAAACAAAACATGGAGGGGTTTTCTTTCCCAAGAAGGGGACTCGCTAATTACGGGTTTTGCGCGTGCAGCTCTGGGCATCCTGGTGCAGTTCCACGGCCAGTGGGGCCTCCTGGCAGACAGCTACCTCGGAGGAGAAACCGCTTAGTCACTCACAAGCAGGACCAGGTGCCAGAGGTCGGCGGTGGGGAGCCGCACTCGGCCCCCAGGCTGCCCGGGAGCCACAGCACCCGCCTTGGGCTCTTTCCGGCTCAGCCCTGCCCTCGCCAGGCAGGGGGAGGGGCGCTGGGCAAAGAGAGCCGGCTCCGTGCCAGGTGAGACAGCGCCCCGCCCTGGCCACGGTGCCCCGGGGACACGGGACAGCGACGCTCTTAGGCTCCTCTGCAGAAGGGCTGAGAGGCAGCTTCCGGGGGGCAGGGCGGGGAGTGTGGGGTGCGTGTGGGTGTGAGGTGTCCTCTGGCACACGCCCAGCCAAGTGATGGCAGCACCCACGTGGGGCCCAGAGAGCTGGCCGCGCACAGGGGATGTCGGCGTTGGTGATGGGCAGCCCTGGGGCCTCCGCTGCACCCTGCACTAAGGGCAGAGCCCTTCTGTTGCTGGCTGGGGAGGCTCGCCGTTGTGGCCTGATGGATGGGCAGGGCAGGGGTGTGGGGGCTCCTGAAAGGACCCGTGCGGGGCTCCGTGCCCTTGAGCATGCGTGTCCTGTCGTCCCAGAGTGGGCAGCGGTTCAGTGACATGTCTGTGTGCAGCCAGGCTGCTTGACTCCTCCTTTTCTTCCTCCTCCCTTCCTCTTCCTCTTCTTGTTGTTTTTTTTTATATACTGGGGTACTCAGGGCCTTTGCACTGAGCTATATCTGCAGCCCATTTTTAGTTTTCATTTTGAGACAGGGTCTCCCTAAGTTGCCCAGGCTGAGCTTAAACCTGTGATCCTCCTGCCTCAGCCTCCCAGAGTGCTGGATCATAGCCGTCTTTCTTCAGGACAGCGCTGCTTCTCCCAAGTGAGCAGCCACACCGGGAACCGTGTCCAGCCTGGGTGTGGGGCTGAGGCAGGTCCGGGTCTGGCTTAAGACTCATAGTTGGTGGCTGTAGCCTGGTACTTGAGTGTAGTGTTTCCTTCCGAGCCTCTTTTCCTCTGTGAAATGGGGGTTAAGCGTGGATGGAAGCAGGCTGCCTGTTACCATCCTTCCAACAGCTGGGACCCTGAGCCCAGGTGCCCACATGCTGGAGGGTCCTAATCCTGATCTTAATACCCACCGGTCTCCCAAACCCTGCAACCCCAGGTCAGAGGGGCCGCTGGGGGGAGAGGCCAGCAGGGCCCTGGAGTGTTTTGACGCAGATCTGCGTTTACTTGGCTGTGAATCTGGGGGGCTTCCTGGAGGAGGCTGGGCCTTGCTTGGGCTGTGGGAGAAGTTGAGAGCAAGGAGGAGGGGAAGCGGGGAGAGATTCCTGGCGATGGGAGGTGGTGAGGAGGCAGACCCAGCAGGAGCGTGGCTGGGACCCGGAGACCCAGCAAATGCCTAGCCCATGTCACCATCAAAGCCAGTGTGACTCCAGTGTGGGAAGAGAGCGATGAGGTTTTCAGGCCCGGCGGGAGGACGGTGTCGAAGGTGTGTGTCGCTGGTTTCCTGTGGCGAAGGGGCTGATCTGCTTTGTGAGGCCCTGCAGCTTCCTGGCTGCCTGGGTGGGAGCCGTTCATTCCTCCTCGGCCTTGTTTCTCCCGAGCGCGCCTGTGTGTGCGTGCGTGCATGTGTGTGTGCGCGTGCACGCGCGCGTGCGTGAGGGGCTTGTGTCCCCGGGAGCCAGCGGAAGTGGGATGGACAGCTGGGGGCTGTGCCAGGCCAGGTGGGGACAGGAAGCAGCTGTGCCCCATCACTTTCCCAGGCAGCCTGGAGCGCTGGTGCTTCCTGTGCCCAGGCTGAGAGCAGGCAGGGGTAGAGGTGGATGTGGGCACCCAGGGGGCATAGATGCCCCATGTCCCAGCCAGGGGGTAATGGAGCCTCCCTGCCTCGATCTCTCCCCTTGCTGCATAACTGGGCCTCTGCCCCTTCCCCTGGCTGTGTAGACGCTTCCTGGGCACAGCTCCTCCAGGCTGTGTGGGGACCAAGCAAGCAGGCAGCAGTGTGGTGTCCTGCTTTGTGGCCCATCGGGCTCCCTGCCACCTCTTCTTCATCCCAGGGCCACCCTCCTGCCTCTGCTCCCAGGCTGCGCATCCTGGGAATACCCTGTACTTTCACCTGGATCCTGGATCATTCTTTAGCCTCCTTGGGCCTCAGTTTCCACATCCGGAAGCTTCACATCTGTGAGGTCCTCTTGCAGAACTGCTGCAGGGCAGGCTGAAGGCAGGCTCGGCAGTCAGAGAATTGTTCTTTCATACAGTCAGCAGTTTGGGCAGAGTTCATGCCGATCAGGGCCTCTGGGCACACAGCCAGACCAGATGGGGTCCCTGTCACGGAGGACTCGCTGTCCGCGGTGTGGACAGTCACACGAGCGGGTGATGGCGATGTGTGCAGAAGGGGCCCCGGCATGGGCTGGGGGTGCCCTGCATTGGGTTTCAAGAGGAGCTGGAGAAGCACGGCGCGGCCCCATGCTGCGTGCATCCCAGGCTACCTGTGGCTGACGTTGTGTCGGGGCCTGAACCAGAGCAGCCCTGAGAATCCACCCTGGGGAGGGGCGGGGACTCAGAGGTGGCCGGGAGGGTGGAGAGCGGAGACTGGACAGGTCCGCAGGGTGATTGGTTTTATGTGGCTCTGAGCGACCTCTGCGCCTTCTTTGCTGTTTTTGTGGCCACTGCATGCCAGCTTCAGGTGGAAAGCCACCTGCCTGCCTTCACTGTCCCCACCCAGACATCCCTGAAAGAGTGGCTGGGCCTTGGCCCACGCTGGCCACCTGTCTGCCGGGCACCTGGGTCCGAGGCCGCTGGGTCCAGTGATTGGGGTTCAGCCTGGTGTACCTGCTCGGGGGGCCAGATTCCCCGGCCAGGGACTTGGATGTCCAGGTTGGTGTGGCTTCTCAGCCCCCGCCCCCTGCTGTAGTTCCTCCCTCCTCAGTGTGTGGCGGGCACCTCCTCCTCCAGATGTGTATAGATGCTCTGGAGTGAGCACCAGACAGTGTCCTAGGCAAGGGGCTGGAGCCGGAAGGAGACAGACCGGAGAGTGACAATTAGCTGTTCTCGTCCCTGCAGCCAGGACCGCCCCTTGTGTTGGACACGTCCACCTGCATGGCCTCCTCCTCTACCAGAGCCAGATGGCTCTAACCTCCAGAGGACTTGCCTCCTAGGTGTGTGCAGATGTGGGGCACCCGCATCTCCCTCATGCCTTGGGGGCTCCTGAGGGCCAGGAGAGCCCTGTCGTCCCCTGCACACAGTTGTGGGGTGTTTATAGTAGCTGCTTTGTTCAGGGCATCTCATTTATTCCTTGGTACACACGGGAAGAGCACCTCCACCACCGGCTTCCCGTTATGAAGTATTTCAGGCCATGGAGCAGGGGCGAGCTGAAGGAGGGGGATGCAGCTTGTGAGGAGTCCGGCGGGGCGGGGTGTTCCTGGAACATTTTCCAGGCAGACCTTGTTGATCCCTGTTGGGTTCCAGATACCCACCTGGCATGCTGGCTGGAGCATGGTGGGTGCTAGGTAGGAGTCTGGATGGATGAGTGTATGGGTGGGTGGATGGATGGGTGGTAGGGTGGGTGGATGGCTGGGTGGGTATGTGTGTGGGTGGGTGGATGTGTGTGTGGGTGGGTGGATAGGTAGGTGTGTGGGTAGATGAATGGGGTAGGTAGATGGATGGGTGAATGGGTAGGTAGGTGGATGGGTGGATGGGTGGATTTGTGGGTGAACAACCTAGCCACCTCCTCACTGATGATAGAAAGCTCTCACCTTTGACCCACTCACAGATCATAGGGCTCCACCCTCCTAGGTCTCAGCCCCCATGCCTAGGTCAGTGCTTGGCACACGGCAGGGTTTGGAGTCCTCAGCCAGACTGAAGCCTGAATCAGCTGACCCTGTCCCAGTCGTGTGTCCCCTGTGGGATCATGTCTGTTCACAGCCGGCCGTAGCCTTCCTTTCAAAGGTGTGCTGAGGGTGGGCTGTGCGTTTCTTGTTCCCTTGTGGGACTTCTCATTTATGTCACCTGTGTCTTTCAGGCTGAAACCTCGCTGGGGGCCAGGTTAGTGGGATGGGGCTGTAATGTACTCTGGACATGAAAGGATAGAAGCCCTCACGTTCCGAGGGAAGACTCCTGCTCCTTTTAAAATAGGCATCTCAGCCAGGCATGGTGGCACATGCCTGTAATTAATCCCTGGGAGGCTGAGGCAGGAAGGTCACAAGTTCCAGTGCAGCCTGGGCAACTTAGATGTAGTAAGACCCTGTCTCAAAATGAAAAATAAAAACACCCAGGACTGTACCTCAGCACCAAGACCCCGCGTTTAATCCCCAGCACTGCAAAAAAGTAAAATAGTCGTTTCGCTTACGCTTGTCTGGCCCTTCCCCATCTGAATGCCTGAGTCCTGACTGCAGCCTTCAGGCCCAGGCCTCGGGAGAGACTTTGCCAAGGACTGTGATGAAAGGGGCAGCGGGTAATTACAGGTGCTGGACATCGTCCCATTTCCTGTCAGCCTCCTCCTCCTACCCCCTCAAAAAAAGAAAACAACAAATTTCCCCAAAAACACTGAGCTGAAAAAAGCCCTTAGACCTTAGTTTAGTCTGCAGGGGCGGCCTGGGTGGGCGGCCTTAAACGTTTGCATTCCTGGGGCTTAGCGGCCCCCAGAGGGTCGGGTTTCTGGGTTCGTGGTCCCGGCAGGAGCTGCGAGCGAGCTCCGTGCACAAAGAGAGAGTGTGTGCGCGGTGGAATTCCAAGTATCCGGCCGGCAGGGGCGGGGGCTGCAGGCACAGGGCCCGCGCTTCAGCTTGGGTGAGAGCTGCTCCACACGACCCCAGCGAAGCCCACCCTGACCTGGGTTCACCACCTGGGTGCCCGGACAGAAGTGTTTCTGCACTCCAGGGCTTCGGACCGTGGACCGTGGAGCATGGCCCGGGCCGAGGACCCTGTCCAGAGGGGTGAGAGGCGCTGGGGATGCCGGTGAGCAGCGGGAGTGGCAGGCTGGTGAGGTCACCATTTTCTCCTGTGCTCCTGATTGTCCCTGTGACGTGGTTCTGGCACAGGTGGCGAGAGACGGGTCACGTGACCAAGTCCTGAGGGACAGGAGGGTGGATAGGGAATGGCTGGAATACCTGCTCTCCCTGA